TTAATTTATCAATCATCTAATTAAATTTATTCATTTGATAATAATATTAAAATTAATATTAATTTTTATATTTTTATATATATTTATAAAAAAAATCTTTAAATTAAACACTAAGGACATTTATTAAATAAATTTCATGTGAATGATCACGTGACCCAACGCCAGAAGGGGGAAGTCTTTTAATGGGCCCAAACAGAAAATCTGGACCTCAGAACTTGGGCCTTCATTGGCCCATACAGAAAATCCATCACAGTAGCAAAGGCCAAGGCAATAAATAGTTTGGTGGGTTAGAAGAAGTCCAAAAGGCCCAAATACCCTATGACGGAGTTCACTTCGCCAACATCTTGGCGTTTGGATATAGACACAGAATATGCCCGACCGAGGATGGGCTTAATTATGGGATGAATAATTCCCAAACAGTATTTGTTTCAGGCTGCCCTCCATTTCACTTACCCACGGTCGGCGTAGCCTTCCTTCTTCCGTCTCTTCTTCGATGGTCGAAGGAGAAAGGTAAAGGGTTCAATTTCAATGTCTTGTTGTTTTTGGGTTTTTTCGTTTTCATTTGATTGACTTAGAATTTTGTAATTTTACCCATTTCTTCCAAATTCTGTTAGTGAATCTAAATTTCAATACTAGATGTGGATTTTATGTGCAATCTGAAACGATTACTTTTGAGATCTCTATTACCCATATGTTTTCTTTTGCCAACGATTATCCATACGTTTGGTTGCTCGGAAAGCTGAGGAAACGGAGATAAATTTTTTATTTTTTTAAGTGCCGGGTGGGTTTATTTTCTATTTTCTTGTTTTTTGGGTGGTAAAAACATTAGAAGAACAATGCTTTCCTAGTAAATTTGATGAATTTAGGGTGTGTTGCGGTGCTTTATAAATCAAATGGCAGCAACTCAGTAATAAAGGATGAATGTGATTATTAATTAATATGTTAAAATTCTGCTCTGTATTTTCTTTAGGAAATTTTACTTGCTAGTAGCTGAAATAGAGTATGGACAAGCTTAGAGAATTTGGAAGGGTAGCTTTATTCTACGTCAGAGTTCTCTCCGGGTATGAGGAGCGGAGGATCAGAAACTATAGATTGCAACTTGAGAGACGTCTCCGGCAGGTCCTTTTACTCATTCCTACATCTCCTTGTTTCATTTTTTTTTTTTTTTTGTGTAATTGATTTATGTGTGCATTTAGTGAATCTTAGTCATGGTTCTTCCTTGTGATTGAAGCATGTGGTATTGCAGCATCACAAGTTAATCCAAGACTTTTATTGAATACTAAGAGTTTTCTTGCATTACTGCTTCCACACTATATCTGGGTAACTTTTTAGATTCTTACTGTAATTTTTCTTGTATGAAACCTTGAAAAAGAAATAGAGTTGTCATTAGATTGTGGAACCTATGATTATTCAATGCTAATGTTCTTTTTTTTCCTTTTGCTTGGCTGTATGTTTCCTTTTATTTTCTTAATCCTGAATACTTTGGATAAAAATATGTATCATTCTTAAGCGTTAGTACCTGCCAAAAGAAAGTTGAAGGAAGAATACTGGTACCCCTTCATTTTTAGTTGAATCACAGGGAGTTATACCATTGTGGTACTTCTTGCTAATCCAAGACTTATATGGGTTGATATCTATATTTTTCATGAATCATGAATGCTAAACATGTTTTTGAATGAGGAAACTAATGTTTAAGAATAATGTTTGAGGGAAACATTATTTATATTCCTGAACAAAATTTACATTTTAAACTATCTTCCTTTTTTTTCCTTAATAGGAGGTTCTTATTCATTTTGATATCTCATAGTCAGAGTCAGTTCATTTAATTTGGGCATTTATAACTTCCCCCATTCTTTGTCTCTCTTTGAGCAGGCACAAGAGCAGAAAGCAGCATTAAAAAGGGTTCCTGAGCAGATTATATTAACAGAGGTTCGCCGCATGGTTGAGGACATGCAAGCTTTAAACAAAAAGCTTGAAGAAACAGTAAGTTCCAGTTTCATTTTGGAAGGAATTTTTTCTTTTTGCAACCTGAAACTTAGACACCATTGATTCTGTAAAACTTTTAAGTACTTCTTTTGAAATTGGTACTGCAATCTAAAACCTCCATTTCTCAGCAACAAAATTGACAGAGCTATAATTCATGTGGTTTTCATTGCAAAGTTACTAAAATATGTATGGCATAAGGCTTGAACAAGTTTGCTTAGGCATGCCTTTCTTAAGTAAGAATTTTTAATTTATTCAGTGAATTCATGAGAATTATTCTCATGGCAATATCTGCTGACCAAAAATGTTTTCTTATGAAGATTTGTTTCTTTCCAGTCCCTAGTCAGGTGATGTCTCATTTTCTGAATGGTTTCTTTTTCATTATTCATGAGAATATTGAATTTATTTTTAGGAAGCTGCAATTGAAGGAATGTTCAAACCAATTGACAAGCAAGCCGAGGCCATAATGAAAGTGCAGCTGGAAGGAGAGGAGAGGACAATGAAGGAGATGATGATAGCAACAGAAGAACAGGCTTTGCTTGAGATGGCTGAGGCTGAGAAAAATGCAAAAATGCATCAACCAGACACCAAGCAAAATAACCAGGATGCTGCATCTGCAGTAGCCAACATGCCCAAACAAGATGATTGTGTGAAATATCACCAATAGAATTAAATTTGACTGTCACAGAGTATCTTTGTAGTGCTGTTTTTGTACAAGTTTCTTGAGAGATTAGTTTGAATAATTGAGGCTTTTCATTGCTAAGGTATGGACAACTGATGCTGAACTTTCAAGTTTATGGTATATAGAACAGAGAATTTGTTCTTGCTGCATGAATGATTCTGTATAAGGAAAATGTTCATTCTGCGGTTGTTATATTTGTGGATGCTTGTGAGTTCTACACGATAATGTGATGTGATTTCTATCTGGTCTTTTGAATTCTTTTTGTGAGTGTACTTGGATTCACAATCTGTTAATGCTCCTTTCTGTCTGCAAAATTGCCTTTTAGAAAGAGAGCAGAAGCATTGGAATGTAATATGCTCATGCTTCATGTACAAGCAATTAAAAAGCTAGAGGAGAGAAATATGTTGGTAGTCTTTTCTTCCCTCTGTGCATATTGCAATAGAAGGAAGGAGGAATAAGGACGGCAACCTGATGGGGAAGGGGAATCTAATTCATCTTTGGCTACTTATTTTGTCAAATTCCCCATAAAAGATGTTTTCCATGTTTCTCTAAATTACTTTTCCTGCCTATTGGTATTTTTTATTTTTTTATCTTCAGTTAACATGAAATGAATGATGTCAAATG